ACCTGTGTGTAAATTCCACTCCTGCCCTGATACCCCGCCTTGAGGTTTCAGGAAGAATGTACCTGTTGATGTAACTGTACCCCCTCTGTGATCACTCTGTACCCAGACCATGATCTTGTGAAACGAAATTGTATGGGAATTGTAATCTTAAGGCTTTTGTGGGTTTTTCCTTTAAAAGCCCTCATGGGGCTGCAGTAAGTTGCGGCTGGCTCTTGCTCTTAGGAGCAGAGTTTGCCCTTCTATACGGAAGCTTTAATAAAAACCTCTTGCTATTGCATCAACTGGACTGGAGTCTAGGTTCTTGGGGCGCCCACTTGAGACCCTAAATTTTGGGGTCCAACAGTACCCTGGGAGGCCAGAGCGGGTGTTGGGTTCCCTGGGACTAGAGTTGTGAGCTGCCGTGTGGTGGCGCTGGGAATCAAACCCAGGTCCTCTGGAAGAGCACCTGGTGTTCTTAACCACTGAGCCATCCCTCCAGCCTGCCTTCATTTGAAAGGCTAGCTCCAATATGAATAAACTATAGGCTGGCAGATTTTTAAAAACTATTTGTGTGTGTGAGTACGGCACAAGAGCTCCCTGCTCACGTGGACTTTAGGACAGTTTTCAGGAATCGGTTCTCTATTCCACCTTGTGGGTCCCGGAGGTTAGTCAGGCCACCAGGTTAGTCCCGGAAGGCTAGTCAGGCTAGTCAGGTTAGTCCCGGCGGGCTGGTTCACCTGCTGAGACCATCTTGCAGGTGCAGGTTGTCAAGTTTAAAATGCCTTTATTGATTTTTAGATTCCATCATGGTCTCCCTTTTTGGTTTCTACCCTCTAGATCTCAGACCCTTGAGAACAAATGCCAAATGCCTCTGAGGATTGAAGCTGGCCTGGACTCCACCAGAAAAATTCTTACCCACGAAGCTTCGGAGTGGCCGCTAAGGCAGTGTCTGGGCAATGTGCTCCCTACAGGAGCTCCCAGACGGAGCCTTTGGGGCTCTAGTGTTCTCTGGAAGGCAGAGCAGGCCTGGGCAAGTGAACCACACCTTCCTTACGCTGTGTGCCCAGCCACAACCTGGACCCCACCTCACAAACCCAGGTGAAAGCAATGCTGTGCACACACGGGCTGACGACCGCCAAAGCTCTGGACAAAGGAGTTTCTGACGTGGGGACCCACAGGCCCTCAAATCCCTTAGCCTTTCCTCTTTCATTCTTTGCCTTCTCTGGGTCTCTTGTCCCAAGGCCTGAACAGGAGCAAGTCGAAGGAGGAGCTCTGGGCAGCGCCTACCCTTCCTCTCTCGTTCGGTATCCCGTCATGACACAGACACAATTGCTTCAAGAGTTCCCGGCCAGCAGGCACACTCTGATCTTTGTGAGAATTGGTTAGACACATCCTTCTGTTCCCAGGAAGGACATCCAGGGACCATCCCCAGCCCAGGGCAGTGAAGAGGCCCACAGCACCTCTTGTGGGCCAAGCTACCATGTGCAGGACACTCAGAAGAGGCTGAGTGCTTGTCCTTCCTGCCAAGGACAGATCCCTAATCAAACCTGTGCGAAGAACGAGTAATTCAAGACAAATCAGCTCAGTCAGAAAATCCAAGATGTGACTTCCAGCCCCGCCATGGCTCACTAAAAAAGGGATGGAGGTTCCCTTCCCCCAAATCCCATAGTCTCACTTTGCTGGGTCCCAACAGGCCAGGATCCAAGGACCTCCTTGGCAAGGTCTGTGTACTTAAGTTTGCTAACAGCTCGACGAATCTGCGGTAGCAGAGCCTTGTTGGGGATTCCTCCCGCTCACTACAGACAAGATTCAACAAGTACAAACCTGCAAACTCTTTATTAAATTCTCCCATTTCATCTGTACAGAAAAAAAAATGCACATTATGTTCAGAATCTCAGTAACATCTTGAAATTACACAGCATGAACATGTAAAAACAAGGAACTGCAGGGATTTTATACATAGAAAGGAAATCCATTTACAAAAGAGGCTTGTTAATTGTACTTTTTGTTTAAAAAAACAAAACCAAAAACCAAAATGAGAAGCAGAAACAGGTTAGCGGCCCGAGACCTGGCACAGCACTCACCACACTGCCTTCCT